GTGCCACCGGTGCGTCGCCCTCTCGCTGATGAGGGGGCGCTATGCCGCGGCGGGAGGGGCCTTGGGCCTTGCTGGCCGCTGGGCCTGCGCCTCGGCGCCTGTTGTCCCCTCGGCTTAGGGCAGTTTTCACACAGAAATTGTTATTTTTCCCTGTAAATACGAGCGCGGTGCTCAGTTCGGGCCACGGGGAAGGAAGCGGAGCCCGGGGTCCGTGGTAGCCCCGGAAAACCCTGTAAGGAGGGCGAGGGAAGTGGGGCACAGGCCGTGGGGATATACCTCCTCGTGACAGCGCCCACGGAGCGTGGCAGGAATCGGGGGTGAAAAACCAACCTCCTCCCCAGGCGTTGGCAGATGGAGGGCCCTTGGGCATCACCAGGCCACTGGGTTGGGCCCTTGTGCATCTTACAGTAAGAAAGGGGCTCTTCGGGCGCCCACTGGGATTTCTCACCAGCACTAGTGACCGAGGGGCTTCCTACAGCTAGCTGACATTTCAAGCAGATTTCAGTTCTGTTTCTCCTTACCATCAGGGCTGTAAGTCAGAAGAATGTTGGCATATGTCTACGACTGAAGGAAAAGCAGCCTGCTTTCATAGTGGCAAGTATGGCAAGAAATGAAGTGGAATGAAAAAGACGATACAATGGGATGCCAGAGATGCTGTAAAAATGTGGCTGGTGCATATATCTGTGACCCCTTACAGTGCGCAGGCAAGAGAGAAAAACAGTAGTACTGAAAAAACATGCACAGAGATTTAAAAGAATTACTAAACTCTACACAATAGTCTAACCTGCTGAAAAAAGAAATGGTGGAAAGCTCTCAGAAATGCAGTCAGAGTTACTGCCAGCTTTCCAACCCTTGCCAGCATATTCAGCTGCCTTTCGTCATCTGGATACACAGAAGCCATCTACCAGAATAGCCTGGCTCCTGGCGTACAGGCTGAACAGGAAGGAGCTCAGCACCTTTCCTGTCCACACCATCCTATTTGCGCTGCTAACTTTGCATCCTTATCTCAGATAGCTGCTGCACAGCTGTTGCCTAGAACTGGTTGGTTTTAACACAAGCAAGTAATTTTAAAATAGGCACTTTTTAAGCTGTGCAGTGATCACACATTGGTGCATCTTCAAGCCAAAAGTGCTGAAGCCTGTAATCAGTTCTCCTGCAGAATAGCACTTATGCACACAAGTGGTCCCATTGATTTTAATTGAACTATTTGAGTAAGAGCTATTCAGCATATAGGAGGGTTGCAGAATATTGTCCTGTGTGTTTATTCCTTGGCAAAAGATGTCAGCTACAGTTTCCTTTTAAGAGGATAATAGTGATTCAGCCTGAAATAAGGATTATGTTTTACTCTTTTTACAGCATTGTGGTAATACTACATATACATTATACCTGATAATTTATTAGTCTGTATCTTGTTGCCTCAGATACACCAGTGTAATGTGGCTCTTGAACACTGCTGAAACACAGGTCACATTTTACTGCGGTTTGGTCCAGGCATCAGGGATGACAAAATACAAGGCTGTGAAGAAAGCAGCATTGTGACTGTAATTTAAGATAATTTTACATCTGCTTGGAAAAAGTCTGACTCCATGAATTACAAGGCAGAAGAGAGTTTGGTGCATAGATTGCAATGGTGAAAAAATTGCTGTAACATTTTCCACTCGCTGCTTGAACTGACTCTGCTGCATGTGGGTGAGATAGTACTGTTTTCACTGTAAACCCATTGAAATTTATGGCAGTTTTGCTGTTGACTTAACTGGAAGTAGGTTTAGACACTATTTGACATTGCTTTCTGTTACGAAACAGCATGAAACCATATATGCATATGTCTGTGTTGTCCACACAGGAAAGTAAGTTCTCTTTGCCTGACCACGTGCGTAGGGCATGTAGTACAGAAAATGCAAAGATATACAGATAAGGCACTGTTGTTCTGTGCTGTAGCTACAGCAATCTAGCAGTACCTCAGATTTTCAGAGAACCTATATTTCTCTGTGTGTGTGTGTCTAAGTGTATCTTAAAACTGTTTTGTAAGCATGCTGTGGAATCAGTCATATGTCCAAAAAGGAAGATGAACGTGCTAGGTATATACACACACCTGAGTGAAAGCGGGATACGCTTTTATGAAATGCCAGGATTGAGGTATGGATTTACTGAGGCTCTGAAGGCCTGAAGCGTGTCCTGCTCCTGCCCACCACACTATGAACACACACCATTTGCCTCTAGAAACACAGGAGTCCAAACAAGCGTAGCACCCCCCCCAAGCACTGCCTTCACCCAATACTTCTTGGCACTTGGTTAGATCCAACTGCTGGGCTGAAGCCACCCTCACCCTCCCCTGCACTCCCTGGGACCCGAACCCAGAACCTCCAGCCACTCCTGGGGTAAAAACCATCAGATTCAACATGATTGCTCTTTCTGCTTTTAAATGTGGACAGAAGTATTTTGAAGACGGTTGTTCTAAGGTGATCGAGCACAAATTCACATTGATACTGGCGCTTTACAGGCTCCTGTGCTTCCCCACTTCCCTGCATTGGAGGGGTACTTTGGGAAGAGGGGCCGCTGAAGCCAGCTGGACTGTGTGTGTAAGTGTCGTGCAGTGCTGTTAAGGACTGCAAGATAGAGACCAGTGCAGTCACAAAAAGTGGCTGATTTCTGTTCATGGTGGCTCTTGACCTCAGGAGTCATAAACTGTATTAGTCTGCCTGAACTATAAGCACGTGTGTAACCACACGCACACACACACGCGCAGAGCCCCTGCTGATGAAATCCCAAATAAACCCATGTGCATTTAGGAAGGACAGTGTGTGGAGTGGCTCATACCAAACAAGCACAGACACACATTTACCTGTAGTTGCGTCAAAGGAGCTTTCTGTATAGTGTGTGACAACGTGTTAAAGAACTCAATGTAGTTTTACCAAGATTATTTCTCCTAGAGTCAATTCAAGAGAGTCCTCAGGAGGCACCATAGAAATGTTTAAAATACCTAGAATGAATTGTTCTGGATCTGTTTTTATTTGTGCCAGTGAACCGGGACTAGCTTTGGTGGTGTCAGCCTGGGTGCAGTGGTGTAAAATGGGTGTGAAAGAAGATCAACAGAATTACTTTAAGAACTGAAGGATGGGCTCCAAGATATACATGTGCTCAAAGGCTTTGCAGATTTGCAGCTCTAAATATCTTTTTTCCATTTCTACGAGCAAGCAGCAGGAACAGCTGAGCACTAAAGAAACAGCTGGCCTTCAGTGATAAGGGGTAGCTGTCACTTCATGGTGAAGTTTGAAAAACTTTATATTTAGAAGCAGAAGGGAGAGCCATCAGCAGCCACACCCCAAAACCTGCACTGTTTGCGGTTTCTTCTGCACTTTCTGCCTGCACTTTATGACTGGAGTGGTAGTATTTACATTTTTACATGTTACAACACCATTCTTCTCCAAAATCTGTCCTGTGATGTGACATGGCGTGTGAGATCAGTGACATCAGAACAGCTGACTGCCCTGAGCTGTGATGAGGGCAGAGCTCTGAAGTTGAGGGTCCGTAATTCAAGCAACTTCGTTCACTGTTCCCGACATACATTCTTAAAGAAACAATTAGGCCTTCCACCCTTTTCAGGTTTGGCTCATTGCAGCTACTGCATGTCTCTTTCTTCCGTCTTTTAAAATTCTTTACTGTGTCTTATCCCTATTGTCCAGAAATAACCTCCTTCACTTTGCCTTGGAGTCCATCCCCATTTCCTTGGGTGTTGCAAGGTTTAGGTAATTAGCAAAGAATTGGTTGTCTTCCCACACAGGACGGGACCTGCACTCAGAGCTGGCACTAACAAGTTTCAGCTCCCTGTCTCAGCATCTCAAATCCCATTTAATTTCTCATCTCACCTGTGATTCGGGTCATTAACTCTGTTTCCTAGATGCAGAAATCAAAACACCTGGAAGTTGAATAGAAGTTTCAGAAGTAACAATATTGTCAGTGTCCGAGCCTGCTTTGAGACACTTTAACTACCTCTACCCTGCCAAATAAAGCGGGGCCAAAGACCATTCTCCATCCCTGAGCTCAAATAGCAGATGTCACTGCAGCCACTTGGCTCTGCGTCTCCTCTGGGCTGCTACTGGTGCACATGTGGCTTTTCATCATCACTTTATTTTATGTGTGGTTTGCTTTTTAGTTTGGGGTGTTCTTTTTAAGTTCAAAGTGCCTGAAGATGTGTGGCAGCCCATCAGAGAGCTGCTTTCAGAGCATAAAACTGAGATTATGTGACATGAAGGTGGGGGGGTATTGAGGGTACTAAGCTGCTGCTACAACGTTGAGGGACTGTATAGTGTGGAGGAGTCATGTCTGTGCAGCCTCATCCAGTGTGCCTTCTAGATTGGTCCTTGGCCTGTCATACCCTTGAACTGTACCCAGGCATAGGCTTGGAGAGTAGCTTGGTCCAAGGACCAAGGCAACAAATAAACAGTATGGATACCGTAGGAACCTATGGACCCAAGTGAATAGAATAGAGTATTTCAGTTGGAAGGGACCTACAACGATCGTCTGGTCCAACTGCCTGACCACTTCAGGGCTGACCAAATTAAAGCCTGTTGTTAAAGGCATTGTCCAAATGCTGCTTAAACACCGACAGGCTTGGGGCATCCACCACCTCTCCAGGAAGCCTCTTCCAGGGTTTGGCCACCCTCTCGGTAAAGAAACGCTTCTTAACATCCAGTCTGAACCTCCCCTGGCGCAGCTTTGAACCATTGCCACGTGTCCTGTCACTGGATCCCAGAGAGAACAGCTCAGCACCTCCCTCTGCACTTCCTCTCCTCCAGAAGCCGTAGGGAGCAATGAAGTCACCCCTCAGACTCCTTTTCTTCAGACTAGGCAAGCCCTAAGTCCTCAGCTGCGCCTCACAGGACCGGCTTTGTTGCCCTCCTCTGGACGTGTTCAAGGACTTTCACATCCTTCTTAAATTGCAGGGCCCAGAGCTGCACACAGTGACTCCCACACGTTCAGGTTGCTACATGATGCTCGCTACCCCAGCTTGCTGCCTGCTCTTGACCAGTTGTTCGCCTCACTGAATCACTGGCTTTCCCAAAACAATTGAATTTCTTCCATTTTTGTTTGGGATTTAGCAAGGCTTTATGCAATGCTATGGAACAGACATGCTTGAAAGTAAAATCTGAAAAAAATAGTACTTCAAACTGAATGCCTGTCCCTTATAACACTCATTTCTTGTTAATTGCTGTATTATGAAATACAACATTTGTATCTTAGCGTCCTTGAGAGTTTGGCTGCAGCGACCTTGAATGCCCCTCTCTGCCAGCACTCCCTGACCAGCGAGACGTGCAGTACCCCGCCGCCAGGCCCTGCAGCCATTTCTGTGATCAGGCATGAAATTATTCTAAACTGATTGAAGTGAGGCATAGATTGAAAAGCTTGAGAGATGCTGATTTACTCCATCATCCTGCTCCGCCTCACCTCTATTTTACCTAAACCATGGTTGGCAGTTCTGGATAGCGTCATCCTAAAAATCTTCCCTGATGCTGCAGCGCATAAAGCACTTCACGAAAGGCAGTGGTAACACTGCTTTCATTTTAAAAGACAAAAAAGAAATGGAGATGTAGGTGCAACAACTGGCCAGTGTCACTCAGCAAAGGCAGGGGAAGGGCTGGGAAGATGACTGGGTGTCCCAGTCCCTAGTCCGGCATTATGATACACTGCAGAGGGAAGATTTATTAGATGGTTTCGGATCTGAATCTCAGACATGTCACAGCCTTGTTACATTCCCTTGGTGCAGGAAAAGGGCCCTTGTGTACATTTGTATTGCATTAAGCTTCCACAAAATACATAGACTAATACAGTGCAAAGAGGCTTTGAAGGAACCATGACTCAGACCCACTTTTTGTTGGAGTGCTTTTTGGGGGCATGGGCATCTGCCTGAGGTCACTGCTCGAACAAGCTGATAAATTAAACATTTCTCCTTTATCCGACAAAATTTCCATTTGGGCCTTCTTGTTATTTTACTTTGATAAAAGCACATTGTATAGCAGTAAAAGCATATTCCACCTCGCTGTGATCATCTTCTAAGCTGCCCTGATGCTTAGCACTACTGTTGCAGACCAGAACAGAGAAAGAAACAGAGCAGGGTTGTGCACAGGTGGTAGCAAATGGGGCTGAAACCAACCTGCCTTTGGCAAACAGTATGTCCAATTTAAGGGGACAGGGAGGCAACTGTGGGCTTCATGAATAAAATCAGTCAGGGGTGACAGTCTCAATGGTGTCTATCCTCTGAACACAAAAATTTAACATTTTCTTACCCAAGGTGCCTGCTTCCTGTGTATCTGTGAATCACATCTGCTGAGTTTACAGGAAGAAGCTCCGAGGATTTGTATTGCTCTTCAGTCTAAAAATCCATCCAGATACGGAAGAATGAGTTCATCCATCCTATGGAGACAACAAAATAATTAGCTGCCATTAGTTTATAGAATATTTATTACGGATGAGGAACCAAGAAAGAAAGAGTTACATTTACAAATTTAAGCATGGACATCACTCAACTGGGTGCTTTGACATCCAGAATCCACTGAGTTCTAAGCTGGGTAAATCATATTTTGAGATGGAAAAAATTTGGAGGTGGACTCCTGATGTCTTTTCATACAGCCATTTTTCAGGAGCCAAGCTACGTGCAGACATACATGGGAGAACAGATTGTTGTTTGTCAAAGAACAGGTATCTGTAATGTATTTACAGGCCTGCAGTAAGTATGTAAGCAAATTGTTGAGTTTCATTCCCAGTAGGAAAAAATTAATGCTTAATGTGGGTGATGGAAATCTACTATCAGCCATAGGATTCTGTCACTTGCTTGTACGAGCCATGGTGGATCCAGGTGAATCTGTGACGGGAAGATTGTAGGTGCATCCTATATTGTACAGCAATGATAATACTCTTCATTTCTGTAGCATGTCGAGCTCACTCATTTTAGACTGCTTAGTCAAGATTTGCCAGTTCAGGCCCTTAATAGATGTCAGTAATTAGGTAAATAAAATGCTGTTCAGCTGAACGAGGGAGGAATCAGTATTGATCCTGAACCTCATACTGCTGGTATAGTTGTAGAGATAAGAGAGCTCACACATCAATACACACGTTTGAGAGAAGATCAAAACGGCCCATGGTGGTAAATAACCCGGACAATTGCCTGCAGGACCTAAAATTAGAGATCAGCACAAAGACTTGGCAGGTGAATAGTCAGCAGATGCTGTCTTATCTCTCTATTTGCTTTGGAGGATTGGGTCTGACCCAAAACATGTTGAAATCAATTTGTATCTTCTCCTTTATTTCGATAGGCTATGCACCAGGCTTTAATCAGTTGTGGGCTTAATTAAATGATTTTCCTCATTGCAAGCTAATTAATCCTATGGAGAAATGAAACTGAATGTTAAATGAGCACTCTTTAGGAACTGTATGTGTAACGTATGGTTTCGAATAAAAAATTATGGGCTTGATTTCACACCGTCTTACACAGTCTTTTATTCCACATAAAGCAAGTACAATTTCCCACTCTCTTTTATTGGGTATAAGTACGGAAACTGAGTGAAGAGTCAGGCAGAATGACTGTAACGAGCTCCCTTCCTTATGCAAAAAAAAGCTAGTGCAAGCAGGAAATCATCAGTTTTCAGCATCCAAGAGAGGAAGAAACAATGCATTTAAATTGCAGCAAGGAGATCAGATATCAGCACAATGTTCTGACAGTGAAGCACTGGGCTGGGTTACCTGGGGAGCCTTGGGCATCTCCAGCATGAGAAGCCTGCGAGAGGTTTGGCTCCAGCCTCAGCAGGGGGTGGAGCACCCAGAGGTGTCCTGGACCGCTCCTGCCAGTGACTGGTTGGAGTTTTGCACCAGTCCAGGGAAAAAATGCAGGACAAAGACAAATTTAGTGCCATCACCTGAATGGCAAAGCAAATAACATGAAATGTGAAATCTGCAGTAATTAATTAGATAATGGGAAATCAATCAGGCTAATGAGTATCTAAGTGTTGGCAGACTCTAACCATCACCGTGTGGATGGAGTTGATTTAGTGAATACTTTTTTTCAGGGATTGCAGGTGGGAGGCTGTGTAGGTCTGGCAAACAATGATTGTATGTGGTGCTTCCCTGTAATACTTCCCAGCTAAACCTTCAAGCTGAGTGTTGGTTTTGGTGCTTTGCTTGAGGTGCTGAATTCCAGCAAAGGGAAGATCTTTGCTTAACAACCCCAAAATGCCTCTGTGATGGGGTGGAGGGGAAGAGGAATGGCCTCCAAAAGGCACGAACTTGCTGAAAGCAACCTTGTATGCAAAAAAAAAGCATCCCTTAGGCTGCTCTATAAGTTTGGAGACCAGAATCTAAGATGCTGTAGCACAAAGTGGTTAGGGCCCAGCCTTATTCACCCACACAGCACTGTGTTTGCTAAATGTGGTGTCTGCTATTTGTGGTGTCTGCAAAATGCAAAAATTACAAAGGGAAATCATCCTCAGGCAGATGTTTACCATGCAAGCATCTCATGTGGGGTACCACGTCCTTTGTGTTGATGCACCAATTTTAGCATTGGGAGAAAATTTCAGTAGCAAGGTGCAAGTGAGGTGGAGGAAACTGGGGGACGGGATGGAGAATTTAACTTACTTGGTTTATTTGTTTTCCTTCCAGCTTTCCATAAGTCTTTTTTTTGCCTTGTACTTGGCTCTGTGTCTCTGATCCCGTCTGTCCTGGTTTTGTTCGCCTTCCTTTGTTGCCGGTGGTTTCATGCTGTTTCCGTTCCTCTCCTTTCGTGTGACACAGATTCTCCGCCTGAGCCACGTCCAAGGTGTTGGACTCCCTGCAGTTACGGCACAGAGACTCGATGCTGAGGACACGACTTCCTGCTTCGCTGACAGTGTCTGCATTGTGTAAGTGAGCGTATGTTTTACCAGCCCACAGAAAAGAAGTTTCAGGGCATTACTTAATGGATTTTCCTTTTTCTAACTCATCAGGACACTGTCAGCTCTTCACCTCTTCTTCATTGTTGCTGGTCTCTTGGCATCTACAGGAGACCGAGGTCCCATGAATCTAGGTGATCTACACACAGTGAGAGCGCTCTTTTTTAATGTGAAGACCTTATAGTCAACATGGAGAAAACACACAAAGATATGAGAAAGTTGTTATGAATAAATATTCCCTATGCAGAGGGAAGTAGAAACAGAGAAATCCCCAGATCTCATTACTAGAAGTAATGAGATACCTGTAGTACCTTGGATACCACAAGTCTAATTCAGGGCTTTCACCACAAAATGGTCCTTCTCTTCACTGGGACCAGTGTAACACAGGGATGGATTTTCACTTTTGCCTCCCATTCAGATGTGCTAAGGATGGTGGAAGGTGGACCCATATCAGATGACTGCCACCACAGCAGTAGGACAGGGCATTTCACCACTCATTCACTCACCTGGGGAAGTCTAAGTTACGCCAAGTCGCTCTGTCATGTCTCTGGTTTTGAATGAAATGATGAGGGTTGTTTAAAAGTGCTACGTATATTGCCAGTTATTCCAGGGGGGGAGAAAATTACTAGAAGTATATTCCCTGCTAAAAAAGGTCGGTGTAATGTTCAGAGGTGCACTGGTGAGACTTAAAGCTTTAACTTCTAATGAACATCTATCCGGAGTTTGAAGGCACCCCTGATCTACAGCTATAAGGGATTGTAATTGACATCCAAACTCCCGTGAACTCAGAAAATCCCTGAAGGCAGGTAAACTGTGATTGCTGAGCAGTAGTACTGCTCACTTCTGAAATGCTGTCATAAGCTGCTCTATAAATATGAATGAACGAAGGCTGATGTGACCCATACAAAAGGCAGCTTTTGTTGAGACTCAGGTAGCTGAGACCTGTGCCAAAGGAGGCTGGGCCAGGACCTTGTCATGTCCTTGTGCAAAGCAGCACAGATCTTGCACCCAAGGGGAAAGAGTTG